TATGTCAAGACATAATTCAACTGAATCAGATAATAGCTTACCGATTCAGTTGAATTATGTCTTGACTTTAAATATGTATATATATATATATATATATATATATATTTCTTACACTTCATTCACCTTACATTTCTTTTTTATTAAACAATATTGTGACTAAAAAATAAAGACAGAAGTGTAGGGCGTAAAACTTTGGATGGTTGATTTTAAAATGAAGTATTTTATAAATTGCTGGATTTCATACAATGATGTTAAGAAATCATTGTAAAACATCACAGTTGTTTTTATGAAGTTCACATTCAGTTGTTTATCTTATTTTTACTTCAAAAATACACATAAAATCAAAACAATGAATCTCGGTTTATATATAAAATTATGTGATTAATTTTATAAGGCTCTTATATTAAAACAGAAATGTCTTGGCATTAATTATTTAATTTATTTCTTCGTGTAACAATAGCTATTACATCATTGAAATAAAAGAAAATGCAAAGTATATCAAAACAATTTTCTTCTTTTATTTTTGATTAAATATGCTAAATGTTAATACTTACAGCTAAGAGAATGTTTGCAAAATGTTATAAATTTTGATTTTTTTTTAAATATGTGATGTATTCGATGAAGAAATAAAATTTCTGATGTAAATAATGTATTTAATGCATTTCAGGTTAGAATTTATGCCGAAGCATTTTATTTGTGAGAGAAATCTGTGTTTTCTAGGAAAGTACAGCTGCTTTTATTTAAAATGAATAAATGTCTTCTATGGTGAAATCTCTGCAGTATGGGTTATTCTTAAATACATATTTTAGGATTACTATGAGGTTACACATTATTCAAAATATCTTGAGCTGTTTACAAATGTATGGCAAATTAAATCCCTTTCTCTTTGAGAATTGCAATGAGATATGCAATCAGTGAGCCGAAATCGGCTGAAATGTTTCATCCTTGGCGATATTTTTGCGGGAAATTGGCGTCTGTTGGATGATATTGGATATTCGAGCAACCTACAGATCCTTTCCATTCAGTGCTCATCTTCTGACATTGCGAAACTTGTGGTTCTCCGTTTTAAGCCCGATGATAGATTTTTATCTTTTAACTTTTTATCACCATTGATCATTATTTTTTACTATTGTATAAAACTCTTATTTTTTCTATGGGATAAAATTATCAGTTACATTTATATTGATTACAAAGTATACGAATTACATAGAAACTGAAACAAAATTTCGACTTCTTTCTGCGAAATTTTCTACGCATACATGAAGGCAAATTTATGAATTTTGAGCAACGAATTAATTATGACTTTTTAATAATAATTTAATGGAAATATTTGGTGTTCTCTAACATAATGCTCACTGGAATGTTTTTTATTTTATTTATATTTTGGAGTGGTTGGAATTGTTGTACAGCAAATGCAAAAGCAGGTAAGCATTACTCGTATTTTCAATTTATATTAATGGAACTTTTAATTTATTTAATTGAATTAGTAAAAAAATCCTAATTTGAATGTATTTTATAGCCATTAAATTTTTGTTGGGAACAATCTGTTTTAATTAAATAGGGATAAAACAGATTTTGAATTTAAAGAACATAATTTATTTTATTTAAAGCGTCACCGTGATTATTTTATACAAAGGAATTCAATTTATCAACTCTAATGTTTGATAAATAATGAGCTAATTAGATATTTAAAACATTTTAAACCTATGAGATTTTTTTATTTTGCTTATTTAAATAGAAACGTTGAAGTCAATTAAATTAGATTAAAATATCAATGTTATTTAACTAAGTCATTTTTAAAAAAGAAGAGCAATATCAAATTTTAAAAGAAATTGAAGCGTTATATTCTTCGAGTTAAATTAATTATTTTTCAATTTTTGAAAGCATTTTTAATTTTAAACCCTCTTTCTATTTAAAGTTTTTAAAACTTCAAGAAAATAGCATGTTTTTCAATCCAGGAGACACATGAATTGAATATAATTGTTATGAGTTAAGATCATTAATTGCTATTAGCATTATCAACGTTATTATGGTTTCGCTTAAAATAAAATTGCTTTAAAAATTTAATGTTTTCCTTATTTTTAGATTAGACTTGTATTTAGCTTTTAATTATTTATAGAAATAGCATTATAAAAATTATATATTATAATGTTTTAATAATTTTGTTTTATTAATATCTCAGTCATTCATTACAATACAAATCATTTCACAAATGCAGCAGATGTTTGAATTACCTATTGTAAAAATTTAAACATATTTCCGAAAAATTTGAAATTAAATGTAAGAAAGGTTTAAACTTAATATTTTTAATATAAAACATTTATGAGCTTTCCAGATTATTAGACCAAATTTTAAAATAATTTAAACCGTAAAATAATCTTATAGTTATAAATTTCAGTATTTTAAAGACTACTAAGGCTAAGAGCTAAGAAAATTGGAAGCTGTTCAAATAGCTGAAAGTTTTTCTTTATATTTCTGTGCAACAAAACTTAAATTATCTTTTAATGCGTTTTGCAAAATAATTAATAATCTGAAAACTCATTAGGCTAATTACGCTGCTTGAAAATTTCAACTATGCTTAATGTTTCTTTCTTTTGCTCTTCCGTAATGATTATTTTAAGTAAATGTAAAAAGGAAATATTAAAGGACTATTTAAGATATGAAACTAATTGCTAATTTGAATATTTTCCGATATTTTTCAGATTTGTGTAAAATTAAATTTTAAACAAATCTGAAATTTTATTGAATATTGATTTTTTTAGATGGATAATAAATAATCTGTTGGTTCGTTTATGTTAAATGAAATGTTTAAAAAAAGTTTAATTTAAGAATAAAGGATACTGTTTTTGCATAATTTTATATCATTATATCAATAAATTTTTTTGTGTAAAATATTTGCTTCAGAAATTTGTACAATAAGGATAAAATTTTTAATAAATGCTTAGGAAATAATTTAATTAACTCATTTTATTTTATCTAGAATAAATATTTTAGAGTCTAAATTTAGAATTTGATCTCATTATTGCATAACTGTAAAATTTTCTGCTCTTAACCTCGTTTGTGAAGAAAAATTGTCCCATTTTCTGCATTAAAATTTGACACCACCTTATTTCTTTAAAATCTAATAACAGGGACAAGAAAAACGAAAAAAAATTTGAGTACCGTTTATGAAAATACTTTTTAAATGCTTCTCTTAATTGACTTACAACTTAAGATATTTAGCTAAGTTAAAAATATAGAGTAACATTAGGATAGATACCCATAATTTTTTTAATTGAATTAAAAGTACCAAGAATAGAGAAACAAACAATGCTTATGCATATTTTAAATTCTCCTACATGTTCTCAGCATATTCTGTGCAAAAAAAGAAGGGAATATTGAGAACAAAATATTAAAAAAAAATATAATTTCAAATTAAAATATGAAGTTACCATCTCTCCTTAATATAGAAATCAGATCACTATCTAAGAAAATGGAAAGTTAGAATATGCAAAATAACCCATTTTAAACAATCAGCCGTATATTTATTTGATTTGACTGGTATTTATTTGCTAATACTTACTAATTTACAAAAAATACTTTATTTTCTCACTTTTGCGATCTATTTTTAGTTTCTTAAGTACTCTATGATTTCTGATTTGTCAATACGTATTAATAAAAAGTGAACATCTCTCCTAAAGTTGATGAGATAGTCACTGAAGTTTTAGTGTTACTTCACAATGATATTTATGTAATCTATTTTTTACTCTGAAACAAAGATTGGACTACATATGTACAATTGAAAAATAGATAACATAAGCATTGAAAAACGACTGAATTCTTAATTTATAAAAGGTATTTGACCCCAAAATAAAATAAACATGAAAATTTTTCATCCTTTTTTATTGTCACAAAAAGCAATTCTTTGTCCATATTGAAAAACAAGTTAAACTACTTTCTGCAAAACTGAATATCCTCTAATAAATAAAAAAGAAATATCGAGAATAATTAAACTGGCCATCTCTCCTCTATCGCCATCCAACTTAGACTTACATTACTTAGTAAGACATAAGTTTTAAGACGCTAAGTTTTTTTAGTTTCTACACATTTGCCCATTAAATGTTTAATTGATTTTTACATTACATCAATAACATTACAAAAAACTATATTGTTCCTGAAGGGATACATATTTTAAAAACATACTTAGCTCATAAAATCCAGAGATAAATTTGATACCCAACTAATTCATTTACAAAAAAAATTTTACAAAATTTTCATTTATTTATTCTAAATCTTAAATGCTTACATAAGAAAGGGGAGAAGTGAATATTTAATTTCTTTTAAAGAACTCTTCGGAAGCTATTTTCCTTTTTAATTGTTTTATTACTTCTTATCCAGTAGATTTATGATTAATAGTTTGAGAGTTCTTTATTAAATAATCATTCGAAGGCATCGTAGTAACCATCGGTTAAGAGTTAAGAAAATTACTTTTTGGAACTCTTAAAAAAAGTGAGACCATTTAACCAAAATCTACAAAAAAAAAGTGTTAAAAATAATTCAAATTTATTTATTCTAAATCTTAAAAGATTATATAAAAAATAAGAGAAGTATATATTTAATTTCTTTTTAAGAACTCTTCGAAAGTTATTTTCTTTTTTAAATGTTTTATTACATCTTATCCAGTAGATTTATGATTAATAGTTTGAGAATTCTTTTTTAAATAATCATTTGAAAGCATCGTAGTAACTATCGGTTAAGAGTAAAGAAAATAGCGCTTTGGAATTCTCAAAAAAATTTGAGACCATTTAACCAATTGTATTTCATGAAGTTGAGATCGCTGTTTTTGATAAAGAAAACGTATAATAAATACAATATTAATATATAAGATTATAAAGCTAATAGTATTGACTAAAAAAAGTTTATTTTTGTAAATTATATTAATTTATTGATTTCTCATGCATTTTTAATTCTTTCAAGTAGTTTCTTTGAAATTTAAATCCTTTTAATCATATGTCATATGCCTTTTATCATATGTCATAATAATATTTATCAAGTTCTCTAATATTCTAACTTTATTAAAACTTTTAAAGAGTTTCTTTATAAAACAAAAAACTTCGTAACAATCTATTCTCTAATCAAATATATATTTTACTTATGACAAGTACTTTGTTATGCCTTTTTATATACAAACAAAATTTATGAAATTTATTTATTATCATATTTTCAGCTAATTATCATATTTTTAGCTAATCTTTCTTTAAACTAGCGATTAGTTATTTACTCAAAAGTGTTTTAAGAAAAACTTTGGTATTTAAAATAATGGCATCCTTTGAAATATTCTATACATTATGCTCTGCATGAAGTAAAATTTGGAACAATTTTATAAGTCTTATTACAGAAAAAGAGTTGATTCTGTGAGGACGGAGGAAAATCTTTTTCTGTCTAGAACGTGAAAAAAACAAATTTTTCCACAATCGACTCAATTCTGAAGAAGATAAAGCCGATAAAACTATAAAATGAGATCATAAAATAATATATATTATTGTGTAGTAAGAGAATAGCGCTGTTTTGTAACTGTATCAGTTTAAACCCACAATATGCAGCTTGATACTTGGTGACATAAAGATCTATTTTTCTAATAAATTCCTTATTAAATGTTAATTTTTATGCAAATGTGAAGAAACATAGCTTTTAAAATAGAAACATTGTTGGACAGCAAACGATATAGGTCGATGCTTTAAAACTGCTTGAGATCTATTTTATATTTATATTATTTTTAATAATGCAGCTTAAATTGTTTAGGTTCGGCTCTTCTTTATTGAAACATAATATAAGAAATTATTTTATTTATAAAGCATAAATTAATTAATCATATGATTCATAAACTTAATACTGATAGTCCTCATAAACCATAAAATATTAACGTACACATAAACTTAACAATAAGATTCATAAAAAAATCCATTCTTTTTCATTTTATGCTTTTTATGTATATCATGGAAATCATTCAAAATATATGAAAAAAGGAATGTATATACTTTATATTTTTTCCGAAGCGTTGGTAATCTCTCTACTATTAAAAATTCTGGATCAAATTATGATATAAAAACCATCTCTTTGTGTGCGTGAAATCCATTTATACCAAAAAATGTAATATCGTAATTTATACAGTAATATTGATTTAATTATAGTGATTCAGTGATTTTACTGTAATTATTGCTGTAAAAACTACGGTATATCAGATTTTTGACTCTTACCACGTTTCGGTAAAAAAGTATTTTATGGTAAAACGGTACTTTTTACCGTAATTTGATTCCGAATTTTACACAGTGCAATTCACCTAGTATCCACTGTGATCCACGTCTGGGTCACGATCTATAATTTTGCTAAATATCCCTTGCGCAAAACCTGTGGTATTTGATAGTTATGACAGTAGTATTTCGTA